GTACTCATGTTGGAGTAGACGGTGGTTGACATAGAGTGTATCCGTCCATTGGCCTCTTTTTAAAAAACAGATAGCTGTTAGGTCTTTGTGACTTAACTTATAAGCGTTGAATAACTTTAGGGACGACTGCTTTTGGGCAGTATACACCTTTAGCTGGTTTTGGGGTATCTGCTGTTCGGGTAGACGTTCCCTTTATAAGACATTTTAAACAAAGTGTAAAGCATGTAAGGTCGTCTGCACAGTGTGCAGGCGATGTTCAATTTCTACAGAAGCTTGAGCTTGATCCGTATGCACATTGTGCAGGCGGCGCTCTAATAAATCGGTGAGCTTGGTCTGTCGGCACATTGTGCAGGTGGCGCTCTAATAAAATGTTTAAAAGACAAGTCTGGAAATTAAGGCAGATTTTCATTAATAAGTAAAAAATTTACAATATTTCAGAAGTAGAACTTTTTTAAGTTATCTACATTTCAAGTTCTGGGTAGCTTCCTGTTGTCTGGTGCTTCCAAGCGGTAGGTTCCGCCTCTTACTTTTTTATAGATTCGGTAGGGACCTTCCCAATTTGGGGTTAGCTTCCCTTGTTCATTTGCCTTACCGGCTGCCTCCATTTTTTCGTAGCACAAAGTCCCCAAATTTCTTATGAGTGTCATTTATGACACTCTTAGGCTAGGTTTTCTCTATAGTTGTACTCTCATTTTTGGTATTTTATGTCATATTTTTAGGGGAATAATGCTTGATTTGCGTATTTGTGTGTTAGTTTAGAGAAATGCATGCTTTTAATGGTTTTCTTTTTATTTTATTCATTTCTCGGCTATTTCTCTCGCTTCTTCGTTACTTTGACTTGTTTTGTAGGTGTGTCGAGTTTCCCGGGATTTAATTATCAAGTAGGACGCTCAAGTGCATTCAAGGAGATTTATGGAACAAAGTTAGTAATCCAAACATCCAATTCAAGCTAACTCCGCAAGCACAAGGACCTTGGAAGCAATGCTTTAGCTTGGAATGTTCAAGTTCTTGGAAGATAAAGGAGTTGACCTTCTCACAAGCATCACCTCGAGTGCACCAATGATAGGGATGCTCGGGAGCACGGAGTTTGATCGAGCAAGCGAAGGAGCCAAGGCCACGTGCACCAACCAGGGGTGCGCGCGCACTCGACACAGGGGGTGCGTGCGCGCAGACCCACCTGTGCACGCGCGCGGCTTGGGTGGTGCGCACGCACAACCCTGTCCAGCCACCTTCGCTCGTTTTTTCTATTTATATCTTTTGACTTTTTTTTTAGACGAATTAATTTTTGTACTTGAGAAATAGTTTTCCAGAAAAAGTAGAGAGAGTAAGTAGAGAGAGAAGCTTAAGATTCACTTGATTTGTACTGAAATTTGATCTTACATTTCAATTAGATCTTGGAATTTCTTCTTCAATTCAATGAAAATATGTAATAATTCTTTGCTTTGATTTACTTTAATTGCAATTCCTTCTACTTTCTTTAATTTTGATTTGGATTACATTCTTTGCTCTAGAATTTGTTGATTGATTGATTTTCTTTTTGATTAAGCTTGAAATGAATATGATTGTGATAGAATTTGTTTTGCTTCTAAATTTCACCATGATTAGTGAATAGATTAGTTGCTAGGGAGAAGGGGAAGCATGCTTGATTGATGATTTTTGCTAGTTGATGATCCTAAATTGATTGAATTGTTGCAATTAAATTGGTTGACATAGTTGTGCATGTGATTTATTAGACTAGGAGTGATCAACCTATAATATTAATCTAGATTGCATTGCAAATTTCAATAACATGAACCCTTGATTTGAGAATTGCTTTAATTGATTGAATTTGATTATGATCTTTCCTTGTTAGCTATTCATTGTGAACCCTAGCTTGGCTTATAGTAGATAGCTTTTGGATTCCTTTTATTGCAACTATTGTTTGTCCTTTGTGATGTTTGAATCGATTGAGTGATCTATCAATTAGCATAATCATTGAGCTTGCATGTGGAACCTATATCCCTAGCGTTTAGCATATTGAATTTCTCGATTTGTCTAGTTTCTTGATACTTTAGTTACCAACCATAACCATCTACATTCTTCTAACTAACTTGACATAGGCTATAGCTTGCACCTACTTATTCCTTTGGGTTCGACCCTTGACTTACCATATACTCGTATTAGGTTGGTTGAATGTTTACAAATTTAGTTTGGCTCTAGGAAAGGGTAGATAACGACCTACATTTTTCTCTTGTCAAAATGACGCCGTTGCCGGGGAATGATATTGGTGCTTTGTTATAGTTGTTGAGTCTATTTCATTCTTAATTAAAAAAAACAAAAAAAATTTCTCGTTTGGCTACACTTGTAGCTGTGCTACTAATCATTTCTTTTTAGATTGTATGCATAGAGCTCGTGGTCATTCACTAGTGCCATTTGATCCGGATATTGAGAGGAATATTGCAAGATTAAGGGTTGCTATACGATCTTTGAGTTCTAGCACCTCAAGTGAAGAAGAACCATAACATGAAGAACAAGCAAGAATGGCAGAAAATCCAAGGGTGGCATTGACAGAATTGGGGATTCCCGGTGCATATAGATTGAGAGTGGGATTGCTCCACCTACAACACCAGCGAATGATTTTGAAATAAGGCCGGCAATGATCACTTTGATAGAGAGGCGACAATTTAGTGGGGCTAAGCATAAAATCCCACTAAACCATCTCAAGGAGTTCAAAAAATATTGCAATACTATCAAGGTGAACGGAATTTCCCAAGAATTCATCCGCCTCAAGCTCTTTCCCCTTTCCCTCATAGGGCGTGCTTTGGAATGGCTAGACAAGGAGGTCAAGCCGAATTGTCTAAGGACATGGGACGAGGTTACCAAGGAATTTCTATCTCGTTTCTATCCACAAAAGAAAACAGCGGAGGCTAGAGCTTTGATTCAAGGTTTCAAACAAAAGCCAAGTGAGAGCCTCTATGAAGCATGGGAGAGATACAAAGAGTATCAAAGAGAATTTCCTCACCACGGAATTCCTACTTACCAAATTATTCATATTTTCTATGGAGGCCTTAGTCCTCTAAGGAAGTCGTGTTTAGATGGAGGAGTCGGAGATCCCATCAAGAATAAAACGGAAGAACAAGTGGTAGACATAATTGAAGACGTAGTGAGATATTATAGAGATTGGCAAGATGGAGAAAGAGAGAGAAAACTAGCAAGAGTAGCTCTTCGGTGTACTCGGTTGTTCATCTAAATGCAATCAACAATCTTTCCTCACAAATGACAAACTTGGGAAAGGAAATATCCGCTATAAAGGAGAATTTAAAAAGTGCTACCTCCCAAATCACGTGTCTTCTCTCCCAATCTAAGGGGAGAGGTATGTCTTCTAATCCTCTACCCTCTCCCTCTTCTAGTAACATGCCTAGGGGATGCTTGTTTTGTGATGTTTTTGGATCTTATGATCATGATGCTTCTAATTGCCCTCATTCATGCAAAGATGTTTGTGATGATCAAGATGGAAAAGTGAATGAGCATGTGAACTATGTGTCAAACAATAATGATTCTAGGTTTGAGAATAAAAGGGGCCAATGGAATAAGAATTACAACAATCATGGCAATTTTGACAACTATAACAAAGGTGGTGGTAATAGAAACTATAGGAACCAAAATTCCCGAGGTAACTATAACAACCAAGGTTATAGTGGCCAAAATCAAATCCAAAATTAGGGTAATCAAAACCAAGTTTATGGGAATCATAATCAAGGTAGTGGTAACCATATTCAAGGTTATGGTCAAAATCAAAATAGGGGCAATTGGAACAATCAAGGTAGGGGCAATTTTCAAAACAATGCTCAAAGTGGTCCCCCACCTGGATTTGTTCCAAAGACTCAAGGTGATAATTCCTATTCACAATCCTCTTCGTCTAAGACTAATTTGGAAGAAATAATTTAGAATCAAACCAAGTTGTTGAACACTTACATGGCCGTAAGTGACAAAAAATTCAATGAAATGATGACTCATAATAAGATGCTTGAAAACCAAAATTTTCAACTTGCCAATGCTTTAAAAGACGATGCTAGTCCTTTCTCTTTGCCTTCCCCAGGCCTAGATCCTAAGAGACCGGTGAATGCTATTATTACAAGGAGTGGTAAGGTTCTCGAGGAGAGTTTGCCTAGGAAGTATGAAACTAAGGAAGTCCGTGAGGTTTTGGTTGAGGATGAAAGAGATGGTGCATTTTTGAGTGAGGTTGTGATTGAGACACCTAGTGAGGTGACAGTAGAGAAAGAAATTGTGAAACCCAAGCTTCCTTATCCACAAAAATTCATGAGACACAAGTTAGATGAACAATTTGAAAGATTTATTGACATGCTTAAGCAACTTCACCTCTCTCTACCATTTATTGAAGTTGTCACACAAATGCCCAACTATGCAAAATTCCTCAAAGATATTTTGAGCGGTAGGAGGACTTGCGATGTTGTAGAGACGGTGGACTTGACCGAGAATTATAGTGAAATTATAATGAATAAGATGCCACCTAAGCTCAAAGCACTAGTGGAAAAAAGGCCATCCGTAATGGGCAAAAAGGGCCCATCCGTAACGGGCAGCGTCCGTTACGTATGAGGCCGTTACGAATGGCCATTAGTATTCGTAACGGGCACCGTCCGTTACGAATAACTACTTATTCGTAACGGGCACTTACAATGTCCGTTACGAATAAGTAGTTATTCATAACGGGCACTTACAATGTGCCTGTTACGAATAACGGGTTATTCGTAACGGGCGTTTCAGGTGCCCGTTACGAAAAACCCGTTATTCGTAACGGGCATTATATCTGCCCGTTACGAATAGTTTTTGATGCAATTAAAAAAAATCCAGCATGTGCTAGCACATGCTGGATCATTTTACCAAATAATGAGATAATTTGTTTTTTTTTTACACAAGTATAATACACAGATAATTTTTTTTATTATGACACAATAATACACAAATAATTTTTTTATTACACAAGTATAATACATATTTAATATACTATAAGCAAAAATATATTCATTATCACTTCAAAATTTATCAACTTGCTCATATAATGTCCCAAGTTTACATCTTAAGACTAAGACTAATAAAAGAGCAAAAACAAATCATAATTGTAATAAAACAAGTTTTATCCCAACATTTGTGGTCCGATACGTTGAGTCTTAAGCTCCCTTGTGTAGATATTGTATGATCCACCTTCAATAATTTCAACAAACCAAAATTAAAATAATTGAAAAAACAAAAACAAAAAAAAAATCAAAATTAAAAAATTAATTGAATCTGCCCGTAAGGAAAAAAAAAAGTGAACATGAATATATATACAAAAATACTTCTAATATACCACATTATAATTAATCAACTATAATTCCCCTTTCAATCGGTCAATGAAATGCGATTATGATATGCATTCTTTATATGAATCCCGTTAATTAAGGGGTGCTCTTAATTTTAATTTTAATTGTTAATCGAAATAGAGAGATAGTAATTAGTAAAGAAACTAATTGCCTCCACTTTGTAAAACTTGGTTTGCCAACAAACACGAGGATTAAGAAACTGCCCATATTTGAAAACCCAAGATAGAAAAATTGATAACTACTAAAAATCCAAAAACACAGAGAAATAGTACCTGAAACAGTTTGAGCTCTAATTTGAGGCAAAGCACGCAACTTTGAAGAACGAAAGTGAGATTGAGATGAATGATTCAAGTGTCCTCCACCAACCTCGATTATAGCAGATTTGAGGCAAAGCACGCAGCTAAAAGTGAGAAAATTTAATTCCAAGGTTGGAGTTCTTGGATGAGAAAGAATGATTCAAGTGTCCTCCACCAACCTCGATTATAGCAGATTTCGATGTCAAATTTACAGCCATTTTTTGTGTGTTGAGAACAATCCCTTTTTATCATAATACAATCATAACACAAATATGCATAATTCCTCAAAATTCAAAAGAACAACTATAGATCTACAAATTATGAACGAGAAAATCCACACAAAATGAATGAACACCACCTCCGTACACTTACCATCACCACCGCCGTACACTTACCCAGATTTACACCACGAACCCAGATTTACACCCACAAATCTATCCGACCACCACAAACACAACTGTTCTGACCCGTGACACCCACCCTAAAAATCAAGAAAGTTAGATCCGACCATGAACACCACCCTCACAAACCCACAAAACCCATGAAATCCCCAAAAAACTAATTTGAGAGTAAAGCAACGAAAATTGAGGAATTTAAATAGAAAAATGAGAAAATTTTACCTTGGTATTGTATGTGGAAGGAGAAACAATGGTCTAATTACCTTGGTTTACCGTCGAGATGAGAGAAGTAGAGAGATTGAGTGAGCAACAGAGAGAGAGAGAGAGAGAGAGAGAGAGAGTGAGTGAGTGGAAGTGACAAACTGACGATAGAGGAGATAGGATAAAGAGGGGTGAGGCATAAGTAAGGTTGATGGCTGGAGAGAAACCCTAATCGTAATAACTAATGGGGTATGGGCTTAGTTGGACTAATTTATTTGTAACGGGCACAATGTGTCTGTTACGAATAATATAATATTCGTAACGGGCAAAATAGTGTTGGTTACGAATACTTATTTATTCGTAACGGGCACTAATTTGTCCGTTACGAATAATATAGTATTCGTAACGGACACTATTTTGCCCGTTACGAATATGTTAATTGTAACGGGCAAAGCTTCGCCCGTTACAAATAGCCTGTTACGAATGAGATTTTTTCCACTAGTAAAGATCCTGGAAACTTCCCTATCCCATGTGCCATTAACAAGATACAAATTGATAATTCCTTATGTGACTTAGGAGCTAGTGTTAGCATAATGCCATATTCGGTCCGTCAACGACTTGAGCTAGGGGAAATTTTGCCTTCTAACATTACCTTGCAATTGGCCGATAGGTCAATTATGATATCTAAGGGTAAGGGGGAGAATTTTTTTTTAGAGTAAGAAAGTTTGTGATTCCGGTGGATTTTGTGGTTCTTGAAATGGATGAAGATGCTACCATTCCTTTATTCTTGGTAGACCTTTTCTTGCTACCTTGGGTGCCACGAATGATGTTATGAGTGCAAAAATTTCACTTAAGGTGGGAGATGAGGTCATTGAATTTGACTTGAATGAAAGCATGAAGTATCCATGTTCTTCTTTAGAAAATTGCATGATGATTGACTCTCTTGATCATGTTGTGTCTTCCATGCATGAGCACTTGCTCACTTCTAACGATGCTCTTCAGAATGGTTTGTTGAACAAGAAAAAGATAGGTGCTCCTATCAAGGAAATGGCTTGGTATGAAAATGTGCTCAACGAAGGCATTGAAGATGTTGAAGAGCAAATGTGTATGAGCATTTCTAGCCAAGAAGCGTTGCAAGTGGCAACATCAAAGGAAGGTAAAGGTGTTCCAATGGTTGAGCTCAAATCTCACCCATCACACCTTAAGTATGAATAATTGGGACCCAACTCCACTTTTCCCGTGATTGTTAGCTCTTCTTTGAGTGAGCACCAAGCTCAAAAGTTATGTGGTGTTTTGAGAAAGCATTAAGGTGCTTTGGGTTATACCAATGAAGACCTCAAAGGTATAAGCCCCGCTTTATGTACACATCACATAACTCTTGAGGAGGGTGCTTTACCTTCTATTATGAGGCAACAAAAGCTACATCCCCAAATAGGAGAGGTAGTGAAGAAGGAGATCACCAAACTTTTGGATGCAGGAATCATATTCCCCATATCTAGTTCTAGGTGGGTCTCTCCCATTCACGTTGTCCCAAAGAAGGGAGGTATGACAGTTGTTGAGAATAAGAAAGGTGAGCTCATTCCAACAAGGACGGTCTCGGGATGGAGGATGTGCATAGACTATAAACGTCTAAACACATCTACAAAGAAAGATCATTTCCCCTTTCCTTTTATTGATCAAATTATTGAGAGACTAACAAGGCACAAATTCTGTTGTTTTCTTGATGGTTATTTGGGATTTTTCCAAATCCCTATCCACCCGAATAACCAAAAGAAAACAACCTTCACTTGTCCATATGGTACATTTGCCTATAAGAGAATTTCGTTCGGCCTTTGCAATGCTCCCGCAACATTTCAAAATGCATGATGAGTATATTTGGAGATATGTTGGAAGAGGAGATGGAGGTGTTTATGGATGACTTCTCTGTGGGAGGTGTTTCATTTTAGGCATGCCTTGAAAACCTTGAAAAATGTCTTGCAAGGTGTGAGAAGGTGAACTTGGTTTTAAATTGGGAGAAATGTCATTTCATGGTGGAGGAAGGCATAATTCTCGGCCATAAGATTTCTCACAAGGGGATAGAGGTGGATAAAGTGAAAATTGAGGTCATTGAAAAGCTTCCACCTTCGATTAATGTGAAGGGAGTGAGATCTTTTCTAGGACATGCCGGGTTTTATAAAAGATTCATCAAGGATTTATTGCTTATTGAAAAACCTTTCAATGATCTTCTTCAAAAGGATGTCGAGTTTGTATTTGATGATAAGTGTTTGGAGGCATACAAAAAGGTGAAGGAAGCTCTAATCTCTACTCCTATTGTTCAAGCTCCAAGATGGGATTTACCATTTGAGTTGATGTGTGATGAAAGTGATTCGGCAATAGGAGGTGTCTTGGGTCAAAGAGTGGAAAAGAAGCTTCATTTGATTTATTATGTCTAAGACTCTAAATGGTGCTCAACAGAATTACACTACAACGGAAAATGAATTTTTAGCTATTGTTCATGCTTTTGAGAAGTCCGTTGTTATTTATTGGGTTCAAAGACCATTATCTTCATGGACCATGCGGCTCTCAAGTATCATTTTGCTAAAAAAGAGTCCAAGCCAAGGTTGATCCGGTGGGTTCTTGAACTCCAAACCTTTGACATTGAGATTAGAGATAAGAAACGAGTGGAAAATGTTGTGGCGGACAATCTCTCTCGTCTAGAAGATTCTTAAATTCATGATGATGGTTCTCCAATTGAGGATAGGATTCTTGATGACTTCTTGTATGCTATTGAGGCAAAGGAGCTCCAATGGTTTGCCGATTTAGTGAACTTTCTTGCATATTGGGTGTTTCCTCCTTCCTTTTCTACGAACCAACGAAAGAAGCTCAAGAGAGAGGCAAGACATTATGTGTGGGATGATCCCATATTATACAAGCAATGGGTCGATGGCTTAATTAGACGTTGTGTGCCAAATGAAGAGGTGCCTATTGTTTTGAAAATGTGCCACTCAGATCCGAGCGGTGGCCATATGGGTGTCTCTAAAACCGCCACTAAGATCCTTCAAAGAGGTTTATGGTGGCCACATCTCATCAAGGACTCATGAGGCTTTCTTAACACATGCGACCGTTGTCAAAGAGTTGGGAATATCTCCAAGAGAAATGAAATGCCTCAACAACCCATACTCGAGTTGGAAGTGTTTGATGTATGGGGTAATGATTTTATGGGACCATTTCCCTCGTCCTTCGGAAATCAATTTATCCTTGTGGCGGTTGATTACGTTTCTTAGTGGGTTGAGGCCATCACCTCTCCAACTAATGACCACAAGGTGGTAATGAAGTTGTTTAAGAATGTAATCTTTCCAAGATTTGGAGTACCAAAGGCGGTGATAAGCGATAATGGTTCTCATTTTATTCACCATGCCTTTCAAACGTTGTTACGGAAGCATGGAGTCCATCAACGATTTGGCCTCCCATATCATCCCCAATCAAGCGACCAAGTGGAAGTTTCCAATCTTCAAATCAAGCTAATCCTTGAAAAGACGGTTGCGAGAAATCGAAAGGATTGGTCGGAAAAATTGGATGATGCTCTTTGGGCCGAGAGAACAACTTTCAAGAAACCCATAGGTACAACTCCATACCACCTAGTTTATGGAAAATCATGCCATCTCCCGGTTTAGAATAAACATCGTGCTTTGCGGGAAATCAAGAAGATAAACTTTGACTTGGCGAGTGCGGGGGAGAAAAGGTGGTTAGATCTTCATGAGCTAGAGGATCTTCGGCTTGATGTTATGATTGTGCTAGTGTGTACAAAGATCGTTCCAAGGAAACACATGACAAGCTTATTGAGAAGAAAGAGTTTTTTGTTGGTGACAAAGTTCTTCTCTACAATTCAAAAATGAATTTGTTTCCCAAAAAGCTCATGTCAAGATGAAGCGGTCTGTATTTGGTCACGAATGTCTTTCCAAGTGGTGTTGTAGAGGTCTCAATGATGGATTCTTCTTCTCCGTTTAAGGACAATGGCCATCGTCTCAAGAAGTATTTCCATGGTGCTTTTGTTATCCTTGTTCACACATTGCTTCTTCGAAAACCACCTTAATTGATAGAGGACGTCGAGCTATGACGTTAAACAAGCGCTACCCGGGAGGCAACCTGGTTTTCTAACCTTTTTCTTTTGATTTTACAATTCTTTATATTTATGTTATCCTTGTGAACTTTTCTTATTTCTATTTATTTTAATTCTTTCTCTTAATTTTAGGTACAATGAGATTAGATCGAGGAAAATTTCCAACAATTTCGGTGTTACTTCAAGGTTTCAAGAGGTTTGGTTAAACTTAGGTGAAGGAGTTCGTTGGGGTTATATGTTATCGTGTTTGCATTTTCATTGATTTTTATATTCATTTTCAAGTAAGTTTTGAATTATTTTTGTGAAATTTTTTAACACTCGATCATGACACTCGATAGCGCCGATGAGAATGTAAATACGAGAACATATTCAAGGGTAATTTTTTCTTCTCCCCTAGCCTTCACGTGGTGCGCATGCACCCATCAATTACGCGCATGCACCACGGGGGTTAGAGATTTTGCCCACTTTTTGCTGAAATTTTAGAGGATTTTGAAAAACTCAATCACCCTATGGTCCGCACGCACCCACTACCTATGCGCGCGCACCACACGGGTCAGGGATTTCGAGTGTTTTTGGCGAATTTAGTCTCCAAAAAACGCCTCTCCCCTACTTCATATCATGCGTACGCACCCAGAAGTTGCTCCCACGTACCAGCCGCTGCAGCTACCTGTTGTTGCGTGCCCCTTTTCACCCTTAATTACCCTCCCTTTCACTCCATTCTCTCTCCCCGATTCCCCCTTATTTACTCCTATCAAAATCTCTCATCAAACCCTTCCATTTCTCTTGCAAAATCCAAGCAAATTCACAACTTTTATTTTCAATTCATCATATAATTACATTAACCACATTAAATTTTTCAAATTTAAGAAAAAATTCTGAAATTTTCGACTTTAATTTCGAAATTTTGGGGGTTATTTCGAAATTATGAAGATTTGTGTTGAGGTTTGGAACTTGTCTTTGGGTGTTCTATTTGTTCTTTAATTTACAATTTGAGCAATGTGCAAGTAATTCAAGGCTTCATTGAGGTATAATTTCTCATTTTCTAGTCATCTTCTTCCTTATTTTTGAAGCTTGAAACCCTTGTTTTTGCTTTCATGGTAGAACTCCATTGTTA